TTTTATTTTTTAAATTGCTTTATTATCTCTGAAACACTTGCGTTAGGCAAGAACATGATACCAGCAGTAGTTTCATTTTACTTTTACAAGGTTATTAAAACAATTGTTGAGTTGCCAAACATACGTGTTTCTAAATTCAATTTCTTGCTCCAGCTGCCTATTACGTTTCGTAAAAAAGTAGTCTTGATTATCCCGGCCTGTCAATCAGACGTAGAATGGTCAGTAGACTGGTTAAATGAGACTGATTTCAAAACAAGGGCATGTAACCTATTTTTTACTCACAAGTGCCCGGATGTTATGGCTGACACTCGTAACCATCTTTCGGTGTATTATTTATGGATGGTTAAATGATCATAGCTTATTAAGTACAACATGACCGTTTATTTAGTGACTATAAATGTGTGAAACTGTTTTAAGTCTTGGTGTATATAAATATAAATATTGTGGTGTGATTGTCGAGATATTCGGAGACATTTATTAATTGTTGGTCACCCTGATATTTCTAGGTAATTGAAGGCATTTACAAGACAATTTCATACAAATCAGATTATGATTTTTGTCGTTTGAGGTTTCACACGATTCTACAAACTGAAATAAGTGCCTTAGTAATTTACAGAAAATTTTGAAATTTGACAGCCTTAAATTTTGTTTTACTAATTTACATAATGAAATTTCATACATTATTGGATGATAACTCATCAATCTAGCATCAACAATGTTGAAGAAATTGCAACAAGGGGCTATAACACTAGAATTATTGTAAATTGCTGAAATTCAATAGGCTTCGTGGTTTCATTAATCTAAATAATGCATATAAATTTCATACAGATCATATGACAACTTTTGGCGTTAAGGCGTTCACAAGGTTCAACAAAGTGAAACAAGGGCCATAACTCTAGATGTAATAAACAGAAATTGCTGAAAATCAATAGGATTATTCTTTTTACTAATCTAAATAATGCATATAAATTTCACAAAGATCGCATTATAACTTTTGATGTTAGAGTGTTCACAAGGTCCAACAAAGTGAAACACGGGCCATAATTCCAGAAGTAATTAATAGTAATTAAATTAAATAGGCTTCTTCATCTCACTAATGTAAACGATATATATCAATTTTAAAACAATCGGATGATAAATTTTGGTGTTGGGAGTGTTCACAAGAAATTGTGGACTACGGACGGACAGACGGGGGCGACATCAATATACGTCCAAACCAGGACATGCCCACATTTTGCAAGAGATGGATAGAGAACAAGTTAAAAACAAAGGCAATTATTTGTACAATCAGGGGCAATAATCCAGAAAGTTATGGTCTGAAATGCGCAATTATCAAAAGGGACCAAAATCTTTGGGATATAAAGATATGTTCTAAGTTTCATCTAAATCTGATAAAATTTGTGACCTTTAGAGGGTCCACAACCTTCGTATTACATACTTTTACACAATTTGCGTACAGAGAGCGGACAGGGGCGACGACAATATATGTCCACATGAAAATGTTGGCCTATAAAAACGAGATTTTCCATACAATCAGGGGCCATAATACAGGAAGTTACAGTCCGATGTGTGCGAATATCAAAAGGAACCGAGATCTTTGGGTTATAAACTTACATTTCAAGTTTCATCAAAATCAGAAGAAAATTGTGACCTCTAGAGAGTCCACGATCTTGATATATCATATTTTTACGCTATTTGAGTACGAGGGGCAGCCATTTTGTCTGGCAATTTTGGTCCTATTTTTACAAAAATCAAACCCAACCATCATTAGGGTGTAACGGTGATATATTCCAACGTTTTATTAAATCGGATAAAAATTATAACCTCTATAGGGTCCACAAGCTAAAAACGTGATTTTTTGTACAATCAGGGGCCATAATTCAGTAAGTTACGGTCCGATATGTACGAATATCGAAAGGAACCAAGATCTTTGGGTTATAAACTAGGGTTACAATCAGGGGCCGTAACTCAGGAAGTTACGATCCAATGTGCGCAAATATCGAAAGGAACCAAGATCTTTGGGTTATAAACTTACATTTCAAGTTTCATCAAAATCAGAAGAAAATTGTCACCTCTAGAGAGTCCACAACCTTGATATATCATACTTATACGTTATTTGAGTATGGGAGATTCGATAAAGAGTTGGTAGTTCTCACTATAATAGTTAACCAGCGGCTGCCAGGCGGATAGAGAACAAGCTAAAAAGAAAGTGATTTTTCCTACAATCAAGGGCCATAATTCATGAAGTTAAAATACGATATGCGCAAATATCGAAAGGAACCGCAAATATCGAAAGGAACCAAGATCTTTGGGTTATAAACATGCATTTCAAGTTTCATCAAAATCGGATTAAAATTGTGACCTCTACAGGGTCCACAACCTTGATATACCATATTTTTACACTATTCGCCTACAAGGCCAAATTCAATGATATTTATGAATAATTCTACATAGATTAGATAATAACGCTATTTACCCGAGATTCCACGGTACCAGTCGTATAGTGTATAGGGTCCACAAGCTAAAAACGCAATTTTTCGTACAATCAGGGGCCATTTTTCAGGAAGTTACGGTCCGATATGCGCGAATATCAAAAGGAACCGAGATCTTTGGGTTATAAACTTACATTTCAAGTTTCATCAAAATAGGATTAAAATTGTGACCTCTATAGGGTCCACAACCTTGATATACCATATTTTTACGCTATTCGAGAGCGAAGGGTGGCCATTTTATCTGTCAGTTTTGGGCCGATTTTCACGAAATTGGTGGGAGTTTGGTAACTATGTTTAGGACGGTTGTTATATACGACCAAAGAATGGTGAACTGTGTGTGAATTAACATAGAAACTATATATGTTCGTATCATTGGGTGACAACCGTGACTGATTTTGCAATTCCTCCGGGAAGGTGAACTTTCTTATCGTAAAACCCCATGTCCTTAAACATGGCGGATCTCCGTGAACCGTGAACTCTCATCCGTGAACTCTGTGAACCATGAACTCTGTGACCAGTGAACTCTGTGACCGTGAACTCTGTGACCTGTGAACTCTGTGAATCATGAACTCTGTGTTATTGAATTAGTGTCAACAAGGAAAACTGTCAGCTTGTTTACATAAATGTTTTGTGCTGTAAATATTGTTTTCTGTATATGATATTTATTTACATAAATATTCATTAACATTGCAAAGCCTTATCATTTCAAGTGTTGTCCCGCGATTCAAGTGTTAACCATTGTCTTGTCAACTTAGTTTGCAAGCCCACCCCGTACAGCACGTCGCGTGGAGAGGGTCAGCATCTTCTCTCACTCACAACAGTCGTCCCTAGGGTGTAACGGTGATATAAAAATACGTTTTTTTAAATCGGATAAAAATTATGACCTCTATAGGGTCCACAAGCTAAAAACGCGATTTTTCGTACAATCAGGGGCCATAATTCAGGAAGTAACGGTCCGATATGCGCGAATATCGAAAGGAACCGAGATCTTTGAGTTATAAACTTACATTTCAAGTTTCAACAAAATCGGATAAAAATTGTGACCTCAATAGGGTCCACAACCTTGATATACCATATTTTTAGGCTATTTGAGAACGAACGGCGGCCATTTTGTCTGTCAGTTTTGGGCCGATTGTCACGAAATTCGAAATCAGTCGTCCTTAGGGTGTAACGGTGATATAATAATACGTTTTTTTAAATCGGATAAAAATTATGACCTCTATAGGGTCCACAAGCTAAAAACGCGACTTTTCGTACAATCAGGGGCCATAATTCAGGAAGATACGTTCCAATATGCACGAATATCGAAAGGAACCGCGATCTTTGGGTTATAAGCATACATTTCAAGATTAAACCAAATCGGATCAAAATTGTGACCTCTACAGTGTTCACAATCTAAAAACGTGATTTGTCGTACAATCAGGGGCCATAATCCATGAAGTTACGGTTCGATACATGCCAATATCGAAAGGAACCGAGATCTTAGGGTGATAAACCTATATTTCAAGTTTCATTGAAATCGCATAAAAATTGTGACCTGTAGACTGTTCACAAACAATTGTGGACGGATGGACGGACAGGGGCGACGACAATATACGTCCACATGAAAATGTGGGCGTATAAAAAGGCGATTTTTCGTACAATCAGGGGCCATAATTCAAGTTTCATCAAAATCAAATTAAAATTGTGACCTCTACAGGGTCCACAACCTTGACATACCATATTTTTACACTATTAGCGTACAAACGGTGGCCATTTTTTCCGGCAATTTTGGTCCGATTTTCACGAAATTCAAACTCCACCTTCCTTACGGTGTAACGGTGATATAATCAAATGGGGTTTTTTTAAATCTGATAATTGTGACCTCCAGAGGGACCACAAGCTAAAAAAGGTGATTTTTCGTACAATCGGGGGCCATAATTCAAGTTTCGTCAAAATCGGTTAAGAATTGTGACCTGTAGAGAGTCCACAAACAATTGTGGACGGACGGATGGACATCCTGACGTCCGGACGGACAGGGGCGACGACAATATACGTCCACATGAAAATGTGGGCGTATAAAAACGTGATTTTTCGTACAATCAGTTGCCATAATCCATTATGTTTCGGTCCGATACATGCCAATATCGAAAGCAACCAAGATCTTTTGGAGATAAACCTATATTTTAAGTTTCGTTAAAATCGGATAAGAATTGTGACCTTAAAATATGGACGTTTGGACGGACAGACAGGGGCGACGACAATATATGTCCACGTATTGACTGGAAGTCAATTATGACATCATAGGAAGTTATGTGGGCGTATAAAAATAAAAGGACATAGTTCAAAACACTAGATAATGATTTGTTCACAACTGAAATAATATCTTAAAGGCCTTTACAAAGTTTTTTTAAACAGATATCGGCAAACTAATGGCAGATTTCGATTTATACCAATATTTCATCCTATTACCGATTTTGAAATCAATAATCGGAACATCACTAGTTTAAATGCAGCTATAATAATTACCTGGTCTATGGATTCCGATGGATAGCTCGATCCTTGGTTTCCCATCATTTCATCCTGATACAGCGATTCATCTGCTACATAAGCTGATGAATTGGCCCAACTCTGTTCTGACTGTCCAGTATATCCATCATCATATGTGCTCTGATCATTGTACGCTTGATTGCAATAGGCCGATTGTTGACGACTATCATTTTGTGATGTATTAGGACATGACATTGGTTGATTAGGTAGTTGTACAGCCACAATAGCTGGGTCTGAGTGTGGTGCTATGTTATCAATAGAAATAAAGAAAACATAATTTACCTCATTCTATTACTTCTCAAAGGGAAGTAGCACTGGGTCATTCCGTGTCAATTCGACCAGCGGGGGAACCCGCCGTCATCAATTTCGCTTGTGCGGAAATATCATATTTTGAAGCTATGCTTTAAACTAAACAAAGATAGGTTGCCAGGCAACAAAGCTAAATCGTTCGGGCAGTCAACAAGAGTTGTCGCATATTTTTACTTTTTTCGGTAATGAAACATTTATAATACACTAAAATCTGATTAAGAGCAACAACTCAGAAAACCATTAGAATTTGTTTGGTTTTTATAAAGTTCTGCCCCATGCTAATGTTTTGTATACAAAACTTTTAATACTGTATCATGTATTTAGCTGTTCCAAGTCATAAAAATTCATTGAAAATCAATACTTGTTCGTCTCAAGATCTTAAACTCTGTGTATCAATCTGAAGTCAATCGGATATTAACTTTGGCCTCATTGAAAATCAATATACTTGTTCGTCTCGTGACCTCAAACACTGTATATAAATTTAAAGTCAATCAGATATTAACTTTAGCCTTTAGAGCATCCACAAGATTTTTTGAAGTGATCAAGGGCCATAACTCTGGCAGTAATTATCGGAAATCGTTGAAAATCAATAGGCTTCTTCGTCTCATGACCTTAAACACTGTGTATAAATTTAAAGTCAATCGGATATTAACTTTGGCCTCTAGAGCGTCCACAAGATTTTTCAAAGAGATCAAGGGCCATAACTTTGGCAGTAATCATCAGAAATCTTTGAAAATCAATAGGATTAATCGCCTCGTGACCTCAAACACTGTGTATAAATTTAAAGTCAATCAGATATTAACTTTAGCCTTTAGAGCATCCACAAGATTTTTTGAAGTGATCAAGGGCCATAACTCTGGCAGTAATTATCGGAAATCGTTGAAAATCAATAGGCTTCTTCGTCTCATGACCTTAAACACTGTGTATAAATTTAAAGTCAATCGGATATAAACTTCAATGTATATTCGCTTTGAACAAGTTCAAATATTTTAAATCCGAAAACGAGAAAAAACACCCCCTTGAATTTTTGATATTATAGTACACCTACTCATTAACCCAGGGATATGCCTACTATTACAATTACTGAGCGGCACCGCCCAGCACCAATATTGTCCGCCCGTCTTGGAAGCAGATTTCTGCCCACCTCCATTTTTCTTGTAAATAAAGATTATCTAATTGGTAAAAGTGTTTTTATTTGTTGCTTTTAACCTCATAAATTGAATAAATTATTTTGACTCGCGTGAAATTGAACTCGTTTCACAGACGTCTAAATATGACATGTTTTCGACGAAATTTATTACTTTTGATTAATTATATGACGCGCAGAGTTATCTGATATTTAGACTCTTAACTGGTCATATCAGTGCGATTTAACTAGCATGACTGGTTAAACTAGCCTACTGCTCCGTTATTGTTTAGCAGACAACTATTTTTGCTATTTAGCAGAAGACTATTTTTGCTATTTTAACTATTTTTTATCATGTCCCTTTTGAAATATTTTCGCCGGGAATCTAATGATAATCCCCAAGAAACAGATTCAGTGGGTGCTGATAGAGACTGCCAATCTACCAAACATAATGGATCCAGTGGCAAACGAAAATCGGATTCCTTAATTACCACATCTCACTAGACTTCTTGTCGGCCAAGTACTAGTACAAGTCAGGCCGACGTGGAGAGCAGACGAACAAGATACATCTTCCCAAAATATAAAGTCAAAACATGCCCTCTCGTTTAACCCAAAATGGAAACAAAACATGCCCTCTCGTTTAACCCAAAATGGAAACTAAACCGTGTCTGGTTGAAATTTTCTCCCAGACTCAGCACATGTTTTGTCAACTCCGCCAAGATTTTAATAATGCTCACCCTGACAGTCGGCAGGATAGGCCTATCTGGATTATTACTCCATGACCATGAAAACGGATAAGACTGGAAAGTATAAATGAACACGAATCTTGTGTTACCCATCAAGATTAGTTAAAGTGCGTGCAGTAGAGAATTTTCACAACAATCCGATATAAGTGTTGCCATAGTCCCAACAATATGTAACCAGCGGCTGCCAGACAGGATACGCCCACATTTTGCAAGAGGTGGATAGAGAACAAGCTAAACAAAAGGCGATTTTTCGTACAATCAGGAGCCATAATTCAGGAAGTTACGATCCGATATGCGCAAATATCGAAAGGAACCAAGATCTTTGGGTTATAAACTTACATTTCAAGTTTGATCAAAATCAGAAGAAAATTGTCACCTCTAGAGAGTCCACAACCTTGATATACCATATTTTTACACTATTTGAGTACGAGGGGCGGCCATTTTGTCTGTCAGTTTTGGTCCGATTTTTACAAAATTCGAACTCAACCATCCTTAGGGTGTAACGGTGATATATTCAAATGTTTTTTTTAAATCAGATAGAAATTATGACCTCTATAGGTTCCAAAAGCTGAAAACGCGGTTTTTCGTACAATCAGGGGCCATAATTCAGAAGTTACAGTACGATATGTGCAAATATCGAAAGAAACCAACATCTTCGGGTTATAAACTTACATTTCAAGTTTCAACAAAATCGGATAAAAATTGTGACCTCTATATGGTCCACAAGCTAAAAACACGATTTTTCGTACAATCTGGGTCATAATCCATGAAGTTACGGTCCGATACATGATGCCAATATCGAAAGGAACTGAGATCTTAGGGAGATAAAGCTATATTTCAAGTTTCGATGAAATCGTGAATTGCTGAAATTCAATAGGATTCCTCTTTTTACTAATTTGAATGACACATATAAATTTCATCCAGATCGGCAGATAACTTTAGATGTTGGAGTATTCACAAGGTGCAACAAAGTGAAACAAGAGCCATAACTCTAGAAGTAATTAAGAGAATTGCTGAAATTCAATAGGCTTCTACATTTCACTAATTTAAATAATGCATATAAATTTCACAAATATCGGATAACTTTTGGCGTTGGAGCATTCACAAGGTTCAATAAATTGAAACAAGGGCCATAACTCTAGACGTAATAAACAGAAATTGATGAAATTCTATAGGCTTCCTCGTTTCACTAATAATTTAAATAATGCATATAAATTTCACAACGATTGGATGACAACTTTTGGCCTTAAAGCCTGCACAAGGTCCAACAAAGTGAAACAAGGGCCATAACTCAAGACATGACAGACAGAAATTATTGAAATTATATAGGCTTCTTCATCTCACTAATGTCAACAACATATCAATTTTAAAACAATCGGATCATAACTTTTGGCGTTGGAGTGTTCACAAGAAATTGTGGACGGACGGACAGACGGACGGACAGGTGCGACGGCAATATACGTCCACATTTCCATGTGGTCGTATAAAAAAGGTTACTAATCAGGAAAAGACGACTTCTTTTAACGCGAGCAATGGAGATGTGACACCTACTAATAATATATGCAAATGTCACAACTTCGAGCTGGAATTTAAAGACATTAACTTCCTGAGACTTATTACAAATGAGAAGTGCTATTTGAAATATTTATGTGGTCTTAGTGAAAGAAACCAATGTTGTGGCAATCATTCCTGGGTTTGAAGCAGTGTTCTTAATCGGTTGTGTTTTGTTGGCTTTAACCAATTGATGTTTAATCTAGCCGCCTGGTAAAACAATGAACCAGCCACTATGGTATCATAAATCAATCTACTATCAGCTAAATTACATCGGGTTAATTATTACATGTTAATTAAGAAGTCAATCAACTTGCTTGTCGGCTACAACAACAGCCATACCTTAGTGAGAATCGGCCATGTGGTTCATAATCTGAGTAGCCTAATTAGCAGATTTAACGTTAATTTGGATAAAACAAGCTTGCTGATTATTCATAACAGGTTCAGTAAACTGCTTTTGTAAAAATAGCCCACGTGGCAAAAGAAGACGATCTCGGCATTGTTTGCCAATTGTGCGTCTTCCGTGCTCGTATGAATTCCAGGTACCAGTAGATATTAAAATAGTAACTGGATTATACATTGATAGATTCACTGACCAGTTTATATCCAAATTTATATCTTCATCGAGTATAATCTCCTGATAGAACACCGAATACACCGAGAAACATTAATTAATAATATATTTTTCCGATAGAATGTCCAATGTCGAATTCCAATGACACGTGACATATCGCTTCGAATTAGGTCAATAAACCAGTTTTAAATAGCATTTACCGTTATAATAATAATATTTTTTATTGTATACACATTCTGACATTGGCTTAATTTTGAAAATATTGTCGTTTTTATTGAATGCTAATTGTACAGAATTTTATTTTAAAGCAATTTCAATTATGGTTGTCAACTGACAATTGTGCCATTTGTCTATCATTGACAAATGAATAAAACTTTTGCAAGTTACGAGACTTGTTAAGTGATAGACAAAAAACTACAAATTGTGTTATGAAGAAATGCCATGGTGCCAAATGCTAATAAATTTGATCATCGACTGATGAAACACGAACGTTTCATCGAATAAACAAAGATAGTAATCTATTCAGTATTATACTGACGTGAACTTGAAAGCTGGTACGTGAATTAAATATGGAAAATTTTCAAAAGGTGTACCTAATTGTCATTATTTTTGTGGTAATCACATACATCAGGATACGACATTCTCCATAAATTACCCAGAATTATTTTTGTGGAAGTCTCGTTATATTAAAGGGAATGGAAGCTTATAATTAACCCATTTCCTACAGGGACCTCATTTGACCCAATTCTGGCCGGTTCGTTTTAAAATGGATTAAGAACCCTGGTTTGAAGGTCAGGTATCCTATGAAAACGAATACCGATTAGTAATTTTTAAAACCGGTTCAACAGTGCAATTGAACCATGACCGGTTAGCAGATTGACCGTTGTAATACTTTTAGTAGAATTTTTGCTCGAGAAATAACATATTCGCATAATATGTGATGTGTACTTAAAATACTTACATCAACTTAGTCTGTAATTGATAGTTGACACATAAAAAAGAGCGATTTATCGAAAACATATGTCACTCATTTTCCACCGAATTACACGCGAGTGGAATTATTCTAATTGCATCATTTGATTTAAAGTGACCAATCATTTTGTTAATTACACAAGTTCAGGGCCATGATCACGCGTTATTGTGCATGATATTCAGTTACCTTTAAAAGAAACCGGGGAACCATGTAAGTCAGACTTGCATTAGATTCCAGAGATCAAGGGTACATCTGAGTTCCTAGACAGCTGAGAGGCTGGATAGGGTGGAGAAGTGGTTTTAGCTATATAGTATTGTAATTTGTGCTATGCTTGTATACCTGTATTCAGTTATATGCTATATAAAATGTAGAAGCGAACTATGCATTATTATTCCTGGTAAGACAAACGTCTTAAGAAACTAGAAGAAGTAAATACACAACGTGAAGCAGAAGTAAAGACAGCTAGAGACAAATTCTAGACGATCACAAGGCTACAGAAATATGTAGTAAGAAAAGACGCATGGGTCGTATGTAGGATGTGGCGACCGGTTTCCCATTGACGCTCTCCACGTCAGACAGAAGGCTCATGGTGCTACATATTCTATTTGGTTGCCGTGACAGTTTCGACCTTTAGGGTAAGCAGAAAATTTGGAAGAAGATTAGAAGAAAAGAGAGTATGCATCACACGTTGGATGTGGGGAGTTCTCTCGTAATATTTTCCACATCTAACCAGTGACTGCCTAGCACTGCATAGTCTTACATATTCGATTTAATGCCGTAACGCAGTTTCGACCTTTGGGGTAAGAAGTCACTTTAGAAGAAGAATACATATTCTATTTGGTGCACGTGACTACGAGATCGAGTAACCTGGAAGAAGAATACATATTCTATTTGATGCCGTAACGCAGTTTCGACCTTTGAGGTAAGAAGTCACTTTAGAAGAGAAATACATATACAAATACTTGTACAATCCAGCAACAGAGGAAAAATTCTGATGGAAAAAAAAAAGAAGAAAAAATCTGGTGAAGATATTCGAAAAATTGGGTAAATACATTTTGTTTGGAAAATTAAATGTGTTAAATTTGTTTAAAGACCAAATAATATTAATTTAAAGTTAAAATCTGATAAGAAACTAAATATTTAAAATTTAACTGTATAGAAAATAAATTAGAGTCATTCATAAGTTTAGATTGATAGGTTTATTAAACAATATAATTTCATGAGTTAGGTATGTATATTGCCAGGTTAACATGACCTGTAGTAAATTAGAGTAAAATTAAAGTTAAAGTGAGGGTCTTTAGGGAGTAGGTTTAAAAAAATAAATGTTTTGATATAACTAAGGAATAATAATAATAAGGAAACGGAATAGGGAATAAAATAAGGAACTAATGTTGTCTCCGGATCGCAGTGAGAACGACGGCAGAGCTAAGGATGAAGTTTGTGAGTGATTAACTCTAGTTTCCTAGTTGGCCGTGGTTTCTACTGTGATTCGTTAATTTGTGTTTTTTGTTGTTTCGTATACTATATAATTTTGAGGCCCTTAGTCCAGGCCTTAGAGTTGTTGTAATTTAACTTTTGATTAAAAAGTTAGGTTATGGAAAAAATCCCATATGGTTCATCTAGGGATGTTGGTTATAGTTTTTCTGGGGAAAAAACTAAAATTAAAGGCTCGTTAAATTGTGAGATTATCACAAAGTCATTAATACGAGTTTTATAGGAGGTTAGAGTTAAGAATACAACACTTTTTAGAAAAGTGGAGTATACGGTAGATTTTGTCCGTATATAATTTTATGTAATTAAATTTTTGCTTTAGAAACGTAATATTAACGTTTAATATATACTGCTAATTGCTTTAAGCTGTCGACATGTACACGAGATGATTAGAATGTGTAATTTGACATTCGGACATATTATTATAAACAATAGGTTCTAATACTGTGTTAAATTTGACGTGTGTAAAAGTCACAATATATAGGATATAGTTAACTGTATGTGTTACTAAAAGTTAGGTATGTTCTTATTGTCTTGTTTATAGAATATAGACTGGTGTTCCGAGGGAGTGAAGTGCACGTCACTTGCTTTGAACATGATTCTAAATAATGTTTATATAATACTAATAATAGAATAGGTACTGTAGGATATTCTAGGTAAAATGTAACACTGGTATTGTCATAAGTGTGAGCTCAGCTTGTGTCAGTGTCAGTCTGATAGGAAATGTTTATGTAATAGTGGTTAGTGTTTATAAAAAACGAAATACAAAATTGGAAATGATTAGGTCAAAAAGGTCACATTACTGACGGTGAAATATAAAATAACAGTGTAGGAATTCTAAAACCGAGACAGACATTATAAAACATAAACGTAATTATAAAATTGTCCATTACTGATCGAGTTAGGTCAAGAGGTCAAAGTTAGTTTCAAGATTTATAATTAAAGGGACACATCAAAGTTTATTAAAACTTAAATAAAGTTAATTTTAATTAAGAGTAAGATTTACAAATAATTTTTCGAAATAATGTTAGATTAATATGAAAATAAAGTTTTAATAATTTAGGAATAGTTAGTTCTTGGTCTGATGGCAATGACGTTTGATTGACGGATAAAATTGTACAACCCATACTTAGAAGAAAAAAAGAAAGTTTCAACTTGATACTATGGTGGCTGAAACAGACCAATACAAATCCAAGAAGAAGAAATGGTTTATCAGTTTACTAAATTGAGATTTCCTGAGACAGAATTTGAAGTGAAACCTGAACTTTATAAACATTACGTGATGTGTTATAGTGTTTTGAAATTAGGACACTTGAAGATTTAAAAAAGACAATTTGTGTTTTCTGTGTTTGGGCTTAGTGAATTTTCATAGGATTTTACAGTGATGAACTTTTTGGAGAACTTTTGCATGCAACTTTTGATTTTTGATTTTTGATTATGTGTGTTTGTGTTTTCAGTTTTGTTATATAGTATAGTATCATTGATATTTGCCTGTTGCATGAATAATTATAGGGTTTAGCACATAGACGTTTAAGAGTCTCCTACCTGTTCATTTAGCATAAATCTTAGAAGGCGGAGAGGTGATAATTATATATGTTGATTTTCTAGATTTCTGCTACATTTATGAATAGTTATATAATTCTACAGATGTTGGTATGGTTATTGTAAAGGATTCAAGGGATCTTTTACCCAATACCGAGCAAAAAGTCTTAAAGAAAGGGACGAATGTAATACTTTTAGTAGAATTTTTGCTCGAGAAATAACATATTCGCATAATATGTGATGTGTACTTAAAATACTTAAATCAACTAAGTCTGTAATTGATAGTTGACACATAAAAAAGAGCGATTTATCGAAAACATATGTCACTCATTTACCACCGAATTACACGTGAGTGGAATTATTCTAATTGCATCATTTGATTTAAAGTGACCAATCATTTTGTTAATTACACAAGTTCAGGGCCATGATCACGCGTTATTGTGCATGATATTCAGTTACCTTTAAAAGAAACCGGGGAACCCTGTAAGTCAGACTTGCATTAGATTCCAGAGATCGAGGGTACATCTGAGTTCCTAGACAGCCGAGAGGCTGGATAGGGTGGAGAAGTGGTTTTAGCTATATAGTATTGTAATTTGTGCTATGCTTGTATACCTGTATTCAGTTATATGCTATATAAAATGTAGAAGCGAACTATGCATTATTATTCCTGGTAAGACAAACGTCTTAAGAAACTAGAAGAAGTAAATACACAACGTGAAGCAGAAGTAAAGACAGCTAGAGACAAATTCTAGACGATCACAAGGCTACAGAAATATGTAGTAAGAAAAGATGCATGGGTCGTATGTAGGATGTGGTGACCGGTTTCCCGTAGACGCTCTCCACGTCAGACAGAAGGCTCATGGTGCTGCACCGTTTACATCTTTAATTTAAATGTAGGAGCATAAAAATGACAATTTCCTGGTTAAAAGAGAAAATTCTTGTATCAGTACTGTGGCTTGACCCATATATATATATATATATTCTGAGGGAATCACCCGACAACCACTGGTTTACTTGTTGTTCCCCAAACCGACGGCGATGACAATATACGTCCACATGAAAATGTGGGCGTATAAAAAATGCTTCTGTACCCATTTGTTTCCTATAAAACAACTTAACATATATAAAGCTTAACTCACAATCAAATTCTAGCATGGAATCCTGAAGGAAATTGAAGTTTCCTTGTGTGACAATATCTTGGACTGGTCTTTCTTTGGGTTCATCAATGGGTTGTTTATCATAAGTATTATCTACATCTTGACTAACAGGGACTGGGACTGGTGCTGGTTCTGGTAGAGATTCTACTATAGGGGGAGGCAACTTAACTTCGACATGTTCAGTAAAATCCAAAGGCAAAGCTGCACGTTCAACTTCCTGTTCATCTTTCTCTACAGATGCAACAGAACTTTCCTCTTCTTCTTCTTCTTCCACTACTTTTTCTTGTTCGACTGCAAGAATAAATAAAATTTTAGAAGCTAAATTGTCCGAGCTGTCTACAAACTGAAATAAGGCCTTAACTCTGGAAGTGATTTACAGAAATTGTTGAAATCTGATAACAATTTTTCATTTTACTAACTTAAATAATGCATATAAATTTCATACAGATTGGATAACTTTTGTCATTCGAAAGTTCACAAGGTACACAAAGTCAAACAAGGGCGATAACTCTAGAAATAATTGACAGAAATTTCTGAAATTCAATAGGCCTCCCTTTCACAAATTTAAATGATACATATAAATTATATACATATCGGATGATAACTTTTGGTGTTACAGCATTTGCTAAAATTCGATAGGATTCTTCTTTTTACTACTTTAAATGACGCATATAAATTTCATACAGATCGACAGATAACATTTGATGTTGGGGCGTTCACAAGGTGCAACAAAGTGAAACAAGGGCCATAACTCTCGAAGTAATTAACGTAAATTATTGAAATTAAATAACCTTCATCTCACTAATGTAAACAACATATATCAATTTTAAAAGAATCAGATGATAACTGTTGCCGTTGGAGCGTTCACAAGAAATCGGACGGACGAACAGCAATATATGTCCACATCTTTGGGAAATAAACTTATATTTTAAGTTTCACCAAAATCGGACAAAAATTGTGACCTCTAGAGGGTCCACAATCGTCGCATTACATACTTTTACACCCCTTATAGCTCTCCTCAATGTCTAATTTGACTCCCCCCTCAAAGAAAATAATCAGGAAAAATATACTGGTAACGTAAAATACTGTCAATATCATTTCGACAATCAACTTGCTTGTCGGCTACAATAACAGTCATACCTTAGTGAGAATCGGCCATCCAGTTCATAATCCAAGTAATTAGCACAGTTTCCTTTGTAATAATAAACCACGTGGCGAAGGAAGACATCTAGCTCTGCATGGATTGTGAATCTCATGCTTCGCGCAGTGGCGGCGACAGCCGTTGGTGATTGGAGGGGCAAAGTCCAAGGTTAAGGGGCAAAGGCATGAGCTTCAACTAGGGGTAGGGGGCCTCCCCCAGAAAATTTTGAAAAACAGGTTGCCGGAAATGCAGACTGGCAGTATTTCAGGCACTGATTGATGAGGTAAAGTGTCAAACGAACGGACTTGCGAATCACGACAAAGCCCACTCACGAGCGTCAAAGTTGGGAGTCCTCCACCAGAAAAATTTGAAAAATAGACTGCCGGAAATGCCGTCTTACAGTATTCTGTCAGGCACCGATCGTCGAGATAAATAGATCTGCCCAGATACCGTTCGTCGCCTGATCACTAGTTTATCTGACTAGAGAACAAAATGTCAAACGAACGGACATGCGAACCTCAATGAATTCCCTTGTGAGCGCCAAAGTAGCGAGTCCATTGGGGACCTTGCCAAGAAAATTTTGAAAAATAGACTGTCGGAAATGCTCTACAACATGCAAGTTTATGACTGAGTGGGGATGTGGGATTTATTCACCATAGAAGGTATTGATTACAGAAACGTATCACAAATACTTTTTTTTATTTTCTAAAATTATTGGGGGGGGGGGGGCAAACAGTGAGCAGACCAGATTAATGGGGGGGCAAATGCCCCCCCCCCTTGGCGCCGCGCCCTGTCTTCGACTCTCGATCCGTACGAATTCTAGGTAGATATGAAAATAATAATTGGATAATGCATTTTATGGTGTCACTGACCCGTTGTTAGTTAAATTTAAATATTCATTGAATAATCCCTGATAGAACAACGGATATCCCGAGAAACAGAAATTAGTAATATATTTTTCCGTCAAGATCTTCAATGCTTTCAGATTCCCGATAACACGTGACATGCATTGGTTGGAATTAGGTCAATAAACCAGCATTGCTAGATTTAGTTTTAAATAGTGTTTTAGTTTTATTCATTTTTATAAGCCCACATTTTCATGTGGACGTATTATGCCGTCGCCCCTGTCCATCCGGACGTCTGTCCGTCCGTAATTTGTTTGTGGACACTCTACAGGTCACAATTCTTATCCGATTTTAACGAAACTTGAAATATAGGTGTATCTCCTAAAGATCTCGGCTGCTTTCGATATTGGCATGTATCAGATCGAAATTTCATGGATTATGGCCCCTGTTTGTACGAAAAATCACATTTTTGGCTTGTGGACCCTATAGAGGTCACAATTTTTATCTGATTTTGTTGAAACTTGAAATGTAAGTTTATAACCCAAAGATCTTGGTTCCTTTCGATATTCGCGCATTTCAGACCGTAACTTCCTGAATTATGGCCCCTGATTGTACGAAAAATCGCGTTTTTAGCTTGTGGACCCTATAGAGGTCATAATTTTTATCCGATTTGAAAAACCGTATTATTATATCACAGTTACACCCTAAGAACGACCGAGTTTGAATTTCATGAAAATCAACCCAAAACTGACAGACAAAATGGCCGCCCTTCGTTCTCAAATAGCGTAAAAATATGGTATATCAAGGTTGTGGACCCTATAGAGGTCACAATTTTTATCCGATTTTGTTGAAACTTGAAATGTAAGTTTATAACCCAAAGATCTCGGTTCCTTTCGATATTCGCGCGTATCAGACTGTAACTTCCTGAATTATGGCCCCTGATTGTACGAAAATTCGCGTTTTGAGGTTTGTGGACCCTATAGAGGTCATAATTTTTATCCGATTTAAAAAAACGTATGATAATATCATCGTTACACACTAAGGATGGCCGAGTTCGAAGTTCGTGAAAATCGGTCCAAAACAGACAAAATGGCCGCCCTTCGTTCTCAAATAGCGTATATATCAAGGTTGTGGACCCTATAGAGGTCACAATTTTAATCCTATTTTGATGAAACATGAAATGTAAGTTTATAACCCAAAGATTTCAGTTCCTTTCAATATTCGCGTATATCAGACCTTAACTTCCTGAATTTTTTCCCCTGATTGTACGAAAAATCATGTTTTTTGGTTTGTGGACCTTATAGAGGTCATAACTTTTATCCGATTTAAAAAAAACGTTTTAGAATATCACCGTTACACCCTAAGGATGGCTGAGTTCCAATATATTTCGTGAAAATCGGCCCAAAACTGACAGACAAAATGGCCGTCCTTCCTTCTCAAATAGCGTAAAAATATGGTATATCAAGGTTGTGGACCCTATAGAGGTCACAATTTTTATCCGATTTTGTTGAAACTTGAAATGTAAGTTTATAACCCAAAGATCTTGGTTCCTTTCGATATTCGCGCATTTCAGACCGTAACTTCCTGAATTATGGCCCCTGATTGTACGAAAAATTGCGTTTTTAGCTTGTGGACCCTATAGAGGTCATAATTTTTATCCGATTTGAAAAACCGTATTATTATATCACTGTTACACACTAAGAACGTCCGAATTCGAATTTCATGAAAATCGACCCAAAACTGACAGACAAAATGGCCGCCCTTCGTTCTCAAATAGCGTAAAAATATGGTATATCAAGGTTGTGGACCCTATAGAGGTCACAATTTTTATCCGATTTTGTTGAAACTTGAAATGTAAGTTTATAACCCAAAGATCTCGGTTCCTTTCGATATTCCCGCGTATCGGACTGTAACTTCCTGAATTATGGCCCCTGATTGTACGAAAAATCGCGTTTTGAGGTTTGTGGACCCTATAGAGGTCATAACTTTTATCCGATTTAAAAAAAAACGTTTTAGAATATCACCGTTACACCCTAAAGACGGCCGACTTCGAATTTCGTGAAAATCGGAACAAAACAGACAGACAAAATGGCCACCCTTCGTTCTCAAATTGCGTAAAAATATGGTATATATCAAGGTTGTGGACACTATAGAGGTCACAATTTTTATACGCCCACATTTTCGTGTGGATGTATTATGCTGTCGCCCCTGTCCGTCCGGATGTCCGTCCGTCCGTCCACAATTGTTTGTGGACTCTCTACAGGTCACAATTCTTATCAGAGGTCTATCCCCAAAAGATCTCGGCTGCTTTCGATATTGGCCTATAGAGGTCACAATTTTGAACTGATTTTGATGAAACTTGACATGCATGGTTATAACCCAAAGATCTTAGTTCCTTTCGATATTTGCCCCCCATCGGAACGTAACTATGACCCCGGATTATCCGAAAGATCACCTTTTTTAGCTTGTGGTCTCTCTGGAGGTCACAATTATTATCCGATTTAAAAAAACGTTTGATTATATCACCGTTACACCGTAAGGAAGGTTGGGTTCGAATTTCGTGAAAATCGAACCAAAATTGCTGGACAAAATGGCCGCCGTTTCTATGCGAATCGTGTAAAAAAAAAGGTATGTCAAGGTTGTGGACCCTATAGAGGTCACAATTTTAATTTGATTTTGGTCAAATTTGAAATGCATGTTTATAACCTAAAGATCTTGGTTCCTTTCGATATTTGCACATATTGGATCGTAACTTCCTGAATTATGGCCCCTGATTATACGAAAAAATCGCTCTTTTTTTTAGCTTGTTGTCCCTCTGGAGGTTACAATTATAATCTGATCTTAAAACCGTTTGATTATATCAACTATACACCGTGATGAAGGTTGAGCTAGAATTCTGTGAAAATCGGACCAAAACTGCCTGACAAAATGGTCGCCGTTTGTACGCAAATACTTCAAAAATCTGGTATTAATGTACTTGTGGACCCTGTAGAGGTCACAATTTTAATCCGATTTTGATTAAACTTAAAATGAATGTCTATAACCCAAAGATCTTGGTTCCTTTCAATATTTGTGCATATCAGATCTTAACTTCCTGAATTATGGCCCCTGATGTACGAAAAATCATGTTTTTAAGCTTGTGGACCCTATGGAGGTCACAATTTTATTCAGATTGAAAAAAAAAAACGTTTGAATATATCACCGATACACATTAATGACGATTGAGTTCTAATTTCGTGAAAATTGGACCAAAACTGCCAGAAACAAAATGGCTGCCCCTTGTACGCAAATAGTGCAAAAATATG